CACAGGCATCTCTTCTATCAGAAATCGTCACAATTGGCGACCCTGGCGATCGATNCGATCGCCAGGGTCGCCAATTGTGACGATTTCTGATAGAAGAGATGCCTGTGCTGATGGTATTACACTTTATTTAACTCTTCAAATCATAAATCGCTCCGATTAAATATAAAGCACACAGTTAAATACTCAACCATTTGAGAGAACAAAGGAGAATGAGAGATAAAGACACATATCAAGAACAGAAAGGTAGAGGCAATATATTTGATATTTGAGAGAACAAAGGAGAATGAGAGATAAAGACACATATCAAGGACAGAAAGGTAAAGGCAATATATTTGATATTTGAGAGAACAAAGGAGAATGAGAGATAAAGACACATATCAAGGACAGAAAGATAAAGGCACGATATGTGATGAGAAGAAATGGCAGCTTAAGATCAAATACCATGCACAGACCACACTCGAACGGGAGCGTTACACTCTCGTGTGGAATTTGGACGCTCTCCGCATTTATCGTTACAATCAGAATTACTTAAAGCATATTTATTTGTAAAGATAATTGATTAAAAAGGGATGAGTTCATTGTTACTATTGGCAAAAAAGTGAAAGTCACGATTTATTAATCTTTAAATGTATGATAATAAATTGATAAAATAATAAATGTTATGTTTTCTCGTTATTCATTTCAAAAAGAATCAAGAATAACATATAACACTACAAGATTTAAGTGTTATCCAAATCTGAATAGTTTACTGTTCGATATTAAGCGTTTCAGGTATGATCTTTTTCCAAATTCAATATATATTATGGATAAGAGAGAAAAGTCAATTTTAATAAAATGTGCTTACTTTTCTCAACCGACAAAACTGAAAGATATCCTAGGCTGTAGAACTTGATGTACTCTATTACCAGTGGAAATAAGAGAGCGATTGGTTCTTGCCGCATCAAATGTGAATAACCAATATTTTGGTATAAAAACATAGAGAAAACGACAAAATAGCCTTTTTGAAGGTACTCCCGAAGTTCTTATGGGATTGACGAAAACTTCTGAATTTTTGTATGCAGAAAGAAAATTTTTCAGAGGTTAAAGTTCGAAACACAAAAAGTCGAAAATCTTACATCTTGAAATAGAAAAGTCACTTTTACTAAAAAAGAACCTCAAAAATCCGTTAAAAAATTAATGTTAAAACTCCTCAAAAATTCCGTTAGTATGTCGATTTTTTGTATAGAAAAGGATAAACCGATTGAGCTGAAATTTTCAGGAAATACTAAATTCATTGTCATCAATAACATATCAAACAATCAGCGAATTCTGAGATATCACTCCACCATCGATGTCCTATAGAGACTGATTTTCTCAGAGACTTACTCTTAACTTGATATCAAAACATTCATTAACCACCAAAATGAAGTCGAAGTCTTATACATTCATATCCATCTCTGGAAATATAGTTGATAGTGTCGAAACCATTAACAAGATATATATATATATATATATGTCCTTTCCATGATAAAATATGATGTTTAACATACGTAAAAACGTTTAGACATTAAAACCCAGCGCTGATAAGCGATAGTATGGATGCAGCGGTGACGGTCAATGGTCGTTTCACCATCGACATTTTACCGGTCTGAGGCGGTGAACGATCAGACCGATCAACCGGTGAGCCGGGCCTCGCTTGAACCGCTCAAATAGTAATTAGCGTGAGCTAGAACTTATCAGTGTTTACAGTATATTATCGATACTCAGAAGTTTCTATATATAAAAGAGTAAAGTTTTTTTTTCACAATTTTCAGTTGTTATCTTCTGTGGATCGGAGAATTTCGTTAAAATGCTGAAAAGCTGAAATTGAGTTACTTTTGCTGACCTCACCAACATACTGAACACTGCACACTTAGCTCAGTGAACTGAAAAGGTGCCAGTGCTAGACTAACACATTGATGCTGCGTTAAAAGAAACAGACATCAATGATATAAACTTACAAAATTGCATGTACCTGTGATGCATGTGAAACGATATATTATTTTTCACCGGTCTGACCGGGGTCCGTTCCAACGGTTGATAGACAACTACGATTAGACCGATGAACGATTAATCGTCATCGTTGCATCCCTAAACCATACCACTATATGAAGGAAACCAATAAATATCTTTATCAATTATTTGCAACATTGACGTCTTAAATAGACTTCGAACTACATATCATGAGTAAAAAGATCTTCAAAAATCTTTAACTATTTTAATCCATACAAGGATTAGGAGTGGGCCGTTGATTTTAATTTGAGTTAATTAAGGGAGTTAATTACGTAGTTTACTTAACACTTAATACTAAATTAACGTAAAGTGCCAGCCCTAACAAGGATCCTAAATATACTATGCACTCCAATCTTGAGTACAAAAGATCCTCAAAGATCGTTACTCACAGTTTCGCTATAACGGTTAGGTGGCATGCACTCTAACTTTCCTTTAAAATTAAAACTAAAGTATTCTGTTAAACTTTCTCAGTTAAAGTTAAAGAACAATACTATCAATTTTATCCGGTAAACTAATGGTTAAACCATACTTACTTTAAGTTTAAACTTAAACTCAAAGTAAACCTACTTCCACTTTCCCTTAACAATAAAGTGAAAGAATTGCTTTCGTAGACCTTTACTTTAATGAAACTGTCAGTTTAAAGTGTACATTTCAAAAAAATCATCCCTCCTACAAACATCCATTTTCCCATAAAAGAATAGTGTTAACATAAGAAAAGTTCTATTCCCGTCGCAAAAATATTTTTACATTCACAAAATAATGTTTTTACCGAAAAACAAAATTCTTGCGAAACATTTACTTCAACTTAAACAAAACTTAACGTTACAGTGCCACCCTTATAACGGTCTGAAAAAGCCAGTCTCATACTTCTATCCACTACCAATGAACTTAGAACTTTTCTAACTATCGATTTCGATACTCAACTCCCAAAATTATCTTAAAATAAAGGTATTCCCAAAAAAAATGAAACATCTCTAGATTAATTTTCTTCTTAACTGTTCCAACAAGAGAGTTTAAAACTTGTAGCCGCTTCCCATGAACTTCGAACTTTTCTATCTATGGATTCTGATAGGCACGTCTCAAAAATACCGTCCAATGAAGAGAATCGCTGAATAAAGGTACTCAAAGATCTTTACAATTGCCTTCGCTATAACCGTCTCAAGAATCGTGCATAACAGTAGTATCCGCTGCCATTGAACTTCGAACATGTCTATATATCGATTCTGATAGTTAGGTCTCAGAAATACCTCAAAATGAAAAAATTGGTTACGAAGGATTCTTAAAGATCTTTGCTTTGGCTTCCGTGATAGCGTTCTGATAAAGTATGATTCATACATGTGACGTTACTAATGATCTTGTGGGATCTTTATCGGTGAGTGAAATTCGACCATCCCTAGAAGTCTTGAAAGTACTTGCTAAGAATTGATGAAAACAGCGATATCCTTTAGATTTCCGGTTCGGTTACTTTGGGAAACTGATTTTTCCAGTGTATTTTCAGGGTGGATCCCTGATTATTTCTGGTGCTACTCGATCGCAGGAGTTGGTCGGAAAATTCCGCTACCATTTACGTCAAATTTCCGGTGGGATTATTGCTTCCACTTTCCGGTGTTTTTTCCAGTCATTTCGGGCGGGAAAGTCGCTGGAACCTGCCGGAAAACACCCCGCTTCCTGCAGGATCTTGCGGGAAACGTGTTCCGGAACGATCGACCTGGGTAATGGTTAGTTCGATTTTAAGCTTATATCCTGATGAAATATCCTCTTTCTATTTAGATTAAACATCTCATGGTTATCGTTTCGGCCAACGGAACGTGGAGGAACTCGCAGAAAGCATGCCTGAAAATCACCGTATTCTGTAGGAACACACATGATATCACTGAAATATGAAGCCCTGGTCTGGCCGCAAAATTTCCTGATTTTTTCTAGTGAGTCCCGACCAACTTGGTGTGTCTTTCGACAGGATGCGCCGCAAATCATGGGAAAGTTTACGGTCAGAATACGGCTTCTATGTTTCAGCGATATCGTGAATTTTCCTGCAGAATAAGACGATTCTTAGGCATCTTTCCTGCCGGTTTTTACAGGAAGCAATTTATTTTGCAGAGTCGATGTGTTTTGCATTGAATAGTGGTGCAAAATTGCTTTTGTAATGCAGCATAGCATCCAGAGAAACCTTCGTTCATTGTTGCATGGTGAATTATAGAGAACCACAAGTACGAAACACTGATTATCACCTATTAGATATTAACACTTTTTACGAAACCAAAAGGGTTTCGATTTCGTTGCAAAAATCGGAACCCTTTGGGTTTCGGGTGGTACCTTTTTTCAGTGTACTTCGTAGCATCAAACTATGCAATTTCTAAAAAAGTTTACTTTTCTTGTTGTAAATTTGAATCGAAAGTTTTCTGCAAAATAGATATCCAGTTTGTTTCCATTATATCAAATACACGTGAGCATTGCAAGAGAATTTTGTGTAGTACGATAAAATGAATGGCTAATGATGAAGTAAGATCGAGGTTACACCTTAACGAGAGACATGTGACTTCACTTTTAGACTACTTATAAACTAACACTAAATTCGATGGATATTTAACATCCTACTATTTTTAGTTTTAATGTCTAACTTATGAATAATATAGCATTTTACATTCTTATTTAAAGAGATTGATAGAGAATCTAATGGCACATTTGTTATTAAGAAGAAATTAGGGATATTATATCATTGATGAGCACTCAGATATAGGCATAACAATAATACTGTGAATCTTTAGTTGTCGATCTATTTTCAAAAATATTTCTTGGACTCACAAAGATCATTTCTCTTTATTGAGACCACGCCAGCGATGTTAAAAACTATTTTAGAATATTCTTATCGAAAAGAAAACTCTAATTAGGGCTGACAACACCACCATTGGATCTCAACGATGCATAATCAGACATTCTCTCTATCTGAACGATCTTTGCCTATCAAAACATCATTTCAACGTTATGAGAAAGTGAAATATTTCATCTGTGTTTAAGTTTTCGCATACGAAAATAGTAAATAAATTAATACCTCTTAAACATTGAGTGAATCCACCATAAGAATTTATGATACAACCAAGATTAAGATCACTTCGACAAGCATCAATTTGACTACAAGGTGCATTTTCAAATAATTGTAATGGACACATGCTGCCATTCCAATAACTATTCCCTGGACATTGACATGTGTTCGTAGTCGATGAACAAGTCTGATATCGATTTTCTTGACAAGCTGAACAAGATTGATTGTACATCGATGCATATAATGATGCTGAAAGTATCGCACTGCCAACAATAGACGTTTGAGAAGCCGTCGCAATGATTGCTCCATTAGTAAGATCAGCTTCGAACAGTCGACAACGGCGTGAACTTGAATCATAATCAAAAATTCGACATGATGGATTTTGACTACATGTAGCGGAGCACAATAATCGGCTTCGAGCTGTTTCATTAAAAATCAATTGAACTCCATATTGAGGTTGAAATTCATGTCCTTGTAAACTTAAGCTAAGCGTGGATGAGTATATACCATGAGCTGGTGAGCTCATTGCGATTACAACGAATATGAAAAATGCCATTATTTTCCCTAAATGAATGTCTATGACAATCTAAAATTGATTAGTAAACGTCAGTCAAATTCATTTGTGAAACGTAGTTCTTATTTTGTTGATGAAGTGTGCATCTTTGCTTTCGTAGTTGCTAGCATGTCCTTTAAAAAATGTTCCCAGGAAAAAATGTCCCTCAGAGTAAATGCCATTTAAAAGTGGTCTTCATGTGAAAATGTCCTACACTCTGAATTGAAGGTTTTAAATGAAATTAGGCCGATATGTAGATGATACTGTAATTTAAAAACATATTGGTTGACGGTTAGATTATTTCTATAAATGCTTAGTTCAAAATGGAATGAGCCAAGTAAGAATGAAAAGGATTGTTCTAGTACGATTGGTGATACATATGACAAATTTGCAAATAAGTACGACTAATATTTTTAAATGCCGACGCCTCATTAAAAGATCGTTCATGAAAACTAATCATCATCTTCCTCAACCTCAACTCAATCTTCATCATCATCATCATCATCATCACACCTTCGTCCATACCTCAAGATTTATGACGCGGACTTTCTTTTTGTTGCGAATGAAAAATAAAATCGAATAAAATTAAAGTTAATTCGTTATTACAAATAAACTTACTTGATCAAAGTTATTATAGATCGTTCTTTAAGGTTTACTGAAAGGCAATTTTTTAAATGGAGAACATGTTTTTGCACGACCATATCACTAAGGATATTTTTTAAAGGATATTCTAGACTGTTACCTATGGATCGGCTTCTCACACCCATCCGCGCCTCTAGTTTCATTAGTTTTCCTATCTACCAGCTGTGTAGAAAAAGGATGCTCGTGCGTTCACCTACTTGTCAATTTTTATATATTTGCACTTATTTTTAATGATCACTTAATATCATAAGATATGTAATATGATTGTCTATGTTGAGCGCTTCTGCGACAACAGGCACGCTCAGTAGCAGACATAGACATGAATATATCGGCAGTTGAATAATAATATAATAGTAAAAAAGGACTGAAACCAACCAATTGAAAAAGGAACGTTTTCTTGTTTCTAGGAAATACAAGATGCAATATTACAAAATATGATGTTCTTATGCTAAAATTCGTTCCGAAACGTAGTTTTGTTACAGCTTATGAAAGCTTGTATGGTAGTTGATATTTTAGGAACTCCATAGTCTCTAGCATATTGTGGTAAAACATAAAATCTATATTAAAGTAGATCGATTCACATAAAAACGGCAAGTTTTTCGAAATAGAACAACTCAGAGCGAGATATGTTTCTGTTGGTGTTAAATAATTCGAAATAATGAAATGAGAAAAGTAAATATATTAGAAATAAGCCTAGTGAATTTATCAATATTGATAATAGTGCGTTAGGAACGCAAACTAAGGAATTTCTCAAACGTTGCTAAAAGCCCTAATTAAAGTAATATTGGTTTTGAGCTTGGTGCACAAATTTCTGCCAGCTATTTTTTATCTTTACTATTTTGACACATTAATTTTTATCGAAGAGATCAAAGCTTATAGAATCAACACACTGAAACGACCTAGACACAAACTTACTTTTACATTCTACTAAAAAGAATTAATGCTTTTACGACCTGAATCAACACTCATGCCGACTTATACTAGTATGAAATTGTGTCATATGCTAACGACTCGAGTCCGCAGTTGTCTCGAATATCTCATTGTGTCCACTTTTATTTTTATTTCAAAAATAAAACTCGAGTTCTTCCCCAGGTCGATGAAAACGAACCACCGTAAGCCGGCGTAAAATTACCGTAAATGGTCGTTTTTACATCGTATTCCATCATAGAGTGGCCGTTTTAAGCCGTATTAAGGTATTTTAACAGGGACAATATTACGGTCATACACGGACACCGTATATCAGCCGTAAAATCTCGTAAAGTCGGCGTAATATTATCGTATTCTATAGAACATACGGCCGTATTACTGCCCCTGTTATACGGGGAAAATACGGCACGTAAAACGGGCCGTATTCGTATCGTATACGACCGTTTACTGATCATTTTATTCGACCGAGATCGGCTGCTGTCGTTTAAAAATACTCACCACCAAAGAGCTGATATAATATAATAGAATGAAAGAAATCATTCCTGAATATTACGATCAAGAGCCTAAGAGAGTAATTACTCCTAAATGTGCTACTACTAATATATTAAAAGAGTCTATATACAGATGGTGAAAATGGAATATACGGTGAAACGCAAGAAAAACAATGCAATAAGGTTACAAGTAGCATCCATTTCAATTTTCCACTTTTGCTTTCCATTAGAGTTTTTAAAAATATGATCACTGAGATAATTAGCAGCATATTAGAGCTGGCAAATGTTGATATAAATTTTAGAAAAAAAGAAGAAAGAAGTTATCAACTGCACATAATATTGATAGAGAAACTGATATATATATATGTGGCAGTAGAGTTTAGAATCTAGTTGAGATTGGAATTGTTGATTATTCTATAAATGTTATGAGAGAGGGATTCATAGAAATAAAATTTTATTAGTGAATGATATGAGATAGTTTGATTGAGTACGTAGATTCAAAAACACGTTTTTGTTTCCAAGATTAATTGTGTCTATCTTTCATGATCGAAGAGAGAAAAATGAGAAAGATTCTGAAAAGATGTTTGTTTTAATACTCGGGACATAGGGACATTGGTTTTTTTCTTTTGTTCTATATTCGAAGAAAAGACGGAAAGAGAGTTTCGCTATCGTTATTTCAAAGTACGGATCTCGAGCAGGTGGGATGGGAATGGAACGAGTTTTTATATTGAATGATATGGAAGGAAAGTAAATTTTTTTATTAATTTTTCATGAAATTAATAAAGTTTCTTATATGAGTAGTCAATTTGATGTGTTATTATCTACAATCGTTCTTCGTTAAAAACAAATAAGCTAATATAAAAGAAACTTTGTAATTTATGTATAATCATTGCCTGTTTCATAGTGACGATTATCAATTATAAAAGCTTAAATTAATAAAGAAATGGTGACAAAAAAGTTAGATATTAATAGATTCTACTAAAATTTTTAAGTGTAAAACTCGGATAAATAAGTATTTATTTAATGATGTAACATTATTGTCATAATCAACGAAGTATTTTATTTTCTCTTAATATTAAAGTATCAGTTCAGCAAGATACATTAATTACTGTATGACTCATACAAGCGAGATGAGGGCGCGTTGAGATAAATAAGAAATAAGAAATAAAATTTATTTTTGTTTTGGTCACCAATTTAAAAAAGAAATCTAAATTATGATCAATTAGAAAATAGTATGCTAAATCTAACTCATAGAAAAACAAATTCCATATCGTTCATATAATTTTATTTGCATTTTGATTTTTGAAATTGTTTTCTTCTTTTCTTTTCTTTTCTTCGCTCTCTTTTCAGTCTATTTTCTTTATCTTTAATTAAATCTATTATTCCAATCTCAACTAAATTCTCATGTCAACCGTAACATATATTTTGATTAGAGATCAAAAAGCAGAAAAATAATACATGAATATTATTACCAAGAATAGTTTTCGAGCAAAATCTACAAAGTACTTCAAAACTCTATCGAGAAATTAAACACAAGTATCGCTTTTAAAATTAAAATGCTTCAGTTACATTATAATAAAAGATGATCTAATAGATGTTGAGAGGCATAGAAAAGAAAAACAGGGAGTTTATAACAAATTTCAAATTGCTACCAGCTTTCAGTAAATATTTGATGTCTGATATCCGACTTTTCAAAAAGAAAGTAAATATTTACTTACGTCTAACTTCAAATTCTCACCAGATATCATACATAAGATATTTAATTTTTCCATATAATTTCACAAGTAATGTTCATCGACATCGAAAGTCGATTCACTGGGCCCTAGACTAGGCATGCACTGAACCCGAGCCTTCGGGTTCGACGAGTTCGAGTTCGAGTTCGATTTCATTGTTCAAGTTCGACTTCGGGCTCGGTTCGATAAATGTGAATTCGGTTCGGGCTCGGTTCGATAAATGTGAGTTCGGTTAGGGCTCGGTTCAGGTTCAAGTTCGGTCAACTTCGGTCCAGATCGGGTTCAGCGCTTATTCTGTAAGCTTGACTTTGGTGACAAACAAAGAGAGAGTGGAAAGATAAAAAGTTTGATGGTAGGCAAGGCTTAACATACTCAATTGGAATTTGAAGTAAATTTTATCATAATTCGTTTCAAAACTGCATTCAAAGGCTTGTCGGTTTTGCTTGCAATACTTAATATACTGAGATACCCTCTTAATATAGAAAAGATAAGATGATTAGTATAAAAATCGGAGTATATGGGCTTATATGTAGTTCTTAAAGTGGCAGATGTTTTAAGTACGACGATGACTTATTTCAGTACGGACAACAATCATTCTTTTTATCTTTGTTTATTTATAGTATTTTAAAGAATTATATATATCTGTACAATAGAATACGAGAAAAAGAATCCAGCACGTTAACATCGAATTATCGGATTCTTTTGAATTCGATTACTATCTACGGGCATGCTTCTTCAAATTGATAAATTATTCTTCGTTGAACTCTATATTAACTAAAAAATAAATGTTCACTCTCTTTTCAAAAAGAGACGCTTTTATATACTTGTGAAGATTCAAGTAACAAACAAGTGTGAAAGGTTTCCCTTGTATCACAATTGGGTTAGATAAATCTAGTGAAAATTACCATTTATAATGATGTTAGATACAAAACTGTACGTACGCCACTAAGAATCTATTTGCAAGTGTAAAATTCAATTTCAACATCAAGAGATGACGCTTGACGCTATAAAAATCATATGTTAACCTCAATTCTATCCCGATTTCGCTTGTATTTTAAAATTCATTTCAAAATAAAGTATCGTTAATCACAATGACGATGCCATACTTTATACAAGCTTGTATCTTCAAAGTTTCCTTCATCCCTTGATTCATTCTGGGCAAAAATTCTATATAGAAAATTTACTTCTAGAATATTAGACCTTCAGAAGA